AAGTTTAGGAATTTGTAAAGCATAATTATGAATATGCTCAAAAACAGGTTGTTCTTCAGCTTCGATAGAAAATTCTGATATTTCATCAGCATTATTTATATCACATTCGTTTATATTTGTATCATTTTTGTTTGCATCCATATCTACATCAAATTCGTCTTCATTACATTCATTTTCCTTTATGGTTGTACAACAATGTCGATTAATAAATTAAAGTTTGATTCTAACACAAAAAAAAAAACTTACTTTCTCAGAATTTTTAACCGTATTTTCTACATTATTCGAAATATTGCTTAATATTTCCCAGTATACCTGGCCTTGGTGTGTTTTTGTGTATTTACGAAGAGCAGCACAATGTGAAAAAGTTCTATTACAATACTGAAATGGGCAACTAAACATCTCTGCATAAGGTCTAAGCGTTATAGGAAAAGCTTTTTTTTATAATAAATATTAATTTTGTCAGAATAAATGAAATTATTAGGGAGAAAGTAAAAAACAATTAACACAAAAGGTAAATAAAATTTAAATATAATATCCTTTTCAAATGCAAATGAAAATGATATACGATTTACATTTTAACCTTATCAATACATTAAACTTTTTATCTGTTAATAAATATCTAGTCACCAATTAAGTTTAATCACATCCTTTTTTATTTACTTTTTTCTTTAATTTAAAGTGAAAAAAGTTTTAAAAAAAAAATATTTTCAGCATTAATTTTAATATCACCCTCTCTGATACGACTTTAAGGTCAATTACAAGTACATCCAGTATAAAAGGTAAACTCCAAGAATTTAATAATAATATAAAGGTTGGAAGATAAAATTACTGGGTATACCTATCGTATATCTTTATTTATTTTTGTTCTTTTTGTCCAATTCACCTCTTTATTTTAACTTCTTTTACTGACGTTAGCTTTATTAATGATCAAATAAGAGACGTGAAAAAGTTGATTACTAAAACCACTATAAGCCATTTATATTATTAGAATTCTTTACAATGATATCAAATTCACAACGTAAAAAGAAAAAAGGCAGTGATGTTGTTGAAATACCTGATAAATCTTCTACATCACCTTTATCACTTAGGGATATATTTAACCATGAACCTTCTCCAATTCAAAAAATATCTCATGAAGACTCATCTATGGTAAATTATTTATAAATTAATTTGATGTTGTTAATAGGTATATACTATTTATTATCAAATTACAGGTCAGGAAAGTTCTATCTAATATCAAGAAATAAAAGGATATTATAAAATCATCTACATCACGAGGTCCATCAATGATACCAGCATCAAAAACTAACATATGAATGCCGAACGTCAAAATATTCCTCAAAATTTGCCGATTCCTTATATACAAATACCTGTTGACAAAGTTAACAAACTCGATGATTTAACGGTCAACACTAGAAAAAATGTATGTTTTTTAAGAGTTTTTTGAAATGTTAACATATTACTCATCTAATAACAGATTCTAAGGACATATGAAAAGAAGAATCAAGATAAGACATGTAATGAACAATTGGTATTACATAGTCCTGATACAGCCATTCATATCAGTCCAGCTCAACTGTCTACAAAAAAGTTGAAAAACAACCGGAAGCTTCACATCGATTACCTAATAAATCTCAACAGCAATCTACAAAAATTAGAAAAAAATCTATTTTATCAGAATTATCAAAAGGCGGTTTTAACATCCCTTCAACATCTATTTTGAGATCAAAAGACTTTTCTAATAGTTCTTCATCTAATAAATCAAGGATCACGGATTTTCTATCATCATCTCAGTTTACTGAAATGATGAGTAAGTATTATTAATTTCTATTTTATAACATGATTCATCTAATCTAATTAATAATTTTAAATAAAGGTGTTAAGCGAAAGAAATCGGATGAATTAGGATCCAATGAATTATTAACAAAACGTAAGTTCCTTTTAATCAATATTACGTTTATGAATATAATATTATATAATTCTTATTAATTATCAGGTGTTAAACTTAATGTAAACATCCAATCCATTCTTGAGAAAGTGCTTGACGAACAGCTAAAGCAACGCATAGCAATTGATAATTTACAAAAAAGTAATGAAGAATTAAGACAAGAGATCTCTGAGAATCACAAACTTCTACAAAACATCTTCACGATTTTGACATCAAAATCGACCATAATAACTGAAAAAGCACAGAGAGGAGGGCTAAAACAACGTTTGAAAAGAAAAGATACAAAGTATATGTGGTGGGATGTTAGTATCAAAATCTATTGTTAACTTTTGAATATTGAAATTATTCTTTAATTCTTTTACATTAGACTCCAATGACGAAGCATGTCATCAACTGTTCCAAGTAAATAAGAACCCATCAGATACAGAAGTTGAACAAGCTTTCAGGTCACAAATTCAAGCGGATCTTCCTCAGAAAATACAAGAGCTTGTTAATTAAAATGAATGGGACAATCTGTGGAAGGCGGTACATTCAATTGTATGTTATATTTTTTTAACTTTTTATATAATTATGAATAGCGTTAACGAATAAATATAAATGTTATTTTAAATATATTTATTTAAATATAGATGTTGGAATATTTTCACAATCATTGAAGCTTCTATGTTCGAAAAATAAAAGATGCTATTTATAGTATCTTAAACTTATTCTCTTATAAGCTTAACCAGTTTGCTAGTCCTAAAGAGGTTATATAATGGAAAAGATCAGAAAGAGTTAAAAGGGCAAGAAGTAACATCTGGAAGAAAATGGACGATAAAGATCCAAATTCATCATGTACCATTGAAGTTATTTTACAAAGAGCATTTACTAAAGAAGAACTGCAAAATAAAAATAATATTAAATTTGGCGTCACAGTAGCATTAATGCTTTTAGATCTGACATACGATCAAAGTTGGGTAAATAATTGTTGATTAATCAGTGGTTTTTGGCTTATTAATAATATCATATACATTTTAAATTAGCTTGAAGGTAAAGAATTATTGGAAGATGATATGACAGATGGTATTGATGACGATAATGAACTATTCACGCATTTTAATAAAGACAACACAATAGATGATAATAATGAATCATCCTTACATTTTGATAGTGAGTTTGCATATTCTAACGATCAAGAAAGTGATTCAGACAATGACGTAGAAAATGAAGTTTATAATAATGAAGATGAAAAAGCAAATAAGATTATTGATGCAGAGAATACTGATAGTAAGGACAGTGATTAATAATTTTATTTGATGAAAACTCATTATAGAAATCGTTGCTTATTTAACATTTTTAATTTATATGTAATAAATGTAGTAAAGTATTTATGCAATAATTGCTTATATGTGATTTACATTAAATATTAATATAATATAATAACAATAAAGATGTGGTATTAAAATATGTATTGGATCACGTTGATCAGATTACGTTGATCATGTTAATCGTATTGATCAAGTTGCGTTAATTACATTAATCCAAGTTAATATTAATTACATTGATTTGTGTAGCATTAGTAGAACAATTCCATTTAACATTGATTGATGTCTAATTAATAACAACGTTGATTAATACATTGAATTATGCTTTTTTAACATTCTGATGTTGATAATCCTCTCTTGGCCATTCCGAAAACAGAAATGAGAAGATGTTCTAGCATAAATAATGTCACTACTGATGCTAAATTCGAACTAGTAAAGACATTACTTCAAGAAGCTAACATCGAAGGGTATAATCTTTTATATCCATCTGAAAATTTTCCTGATAAATTTCCACTATCACGCATCTCTCCATCACATTGCCCATTATGTGATCGAAAATATGATAGCGAAAATGCATACATTATATAAAATAAAAAATCCTACAGCTTTTTCTGCTATTAAGCAAACTAAGATAAGCAATCTAAGCCTTCGAAAAAACTTACTATTAGTGAAACTGCCTTAGATCGAGAAAAGAAGCTTCTGAGTCCAGTGAAATTAGACTGATCTAGAATATCAGACCCCAATGATCATTTTGTATGATGAGATTTAATATCCATGTATACTTTTAAGAATAGATTTACACGTAATGAAGTATACAATGCAATTCAAGCAACAGTCGCCTGTATTCAAAAGAATACGAAAACATGGATTCTAAAGCATAAAAACCAGATGGTAGCTTATATTTTGATATGGAATCTAAGATAGATATCGGTAAATTAACTATTAATATCATAGAATTTGGTGGGGAGGCAATAAAATTACAATTTTTAATAGAAAATGCATTTAACAGTGGTTTAATTGCTTATACAGATATTAATTTCCTACTATATCCTTCAAATGCTATTCCGCTAAAAACTGGATTCTTCAATCTTTTCCTGAGATTCAAAGTAAAGCTGACTTTCCATATTAATTATGACTTAATGAATCTGATCGTTTGACATATAGAAAATATCTGGTGCAATAGAAATAAAAATCTTTCCAAATATGTTCTGAAATAGTTTGCATTCCTAGTTCCGTATCCAAATATAATTCTCAGAACTATTCTTATTTACGCTCTTCACTTCGATGTGAAAAAAATATTATTACTGATTTTATCTGAAAAAGCTTATTCAGACCAGAGCTTATTTACTCGACCTCTGATCTAAGAAAGATTCTTGGACGATTTAATAACCCCATTCAAGCACGAAAACTTATTATTATGAATGAAGCAGGGATGGCTAGTGGTGAGTGACATAAGGTAAATGATCACTTAAAATCTTTCATTACAGAAGACTATGTCTCGATTGAGCGTAAAGGTCTCAAATCCCAAAATTGCAATCATTATACTGGATTTATAGTTTTAAGTAATCATGATATCCCAATTCAAGTAGAGATGGGGATGGATGTATTGTATGTTTAGATGTCTCCCCTCGCTGTAAAAATAATTTCACATATTTCGATCAGTTGAGAGGAATTCTTGAGCATCCCGATACGCCTAGATCTTTTATGTCATATTTACTTAATCTTAATCTCTCAAGATGGAAGTCACGTAAGATCCCTTCAACTAAAATGAAGATAGAAACCATGCAAGACCAACTTCCCAATCTCATTCGATTTATAATTGACTATATTGAATCTTGGGCTGAAGATAATCAAATCTGTCTTAAAGCATTTCCTATTCTTGAAATTCTGAAATAGTTTTAGAGGGATTGATAATTATATTTTTGCATTACCTTAGCCGTGGAGCTCACCATGTCCTATTTGCGATGAAAAACATGAAAATTATGGATTACATGGCGAATGGTATAGGAATGAAATAGAATATTGTCTTTCTTGCTTCACTTTAAGCAATAAATTCAAGTTCGCGATTGTAGCATAGAAACTCTGTCATGTTAGACCGATAACTAGAAATGCGTAGTATAATATTTGCTTGCAAATACAAAAATAAGGCATTATACCGCAATATGAAAAAAGTATCAGTGAAAAAAAATTCGTATGAAACATTATGCAATTAAGGTAGGAGTATACCAGTTGTGACTATGCATTTCAATGAAGTGACTCAAGATTACAAGCTAATGGTATTTTTCATTTTAGGATTTTTTGAGAATCACGAAAGCACAAATGAAACGAATTATAGAATTAATGATAGGATATTATATTAGTACAATGTATAGGATATCCTTGTCATATATCACAGATTAGCTCTCGATTCTTATAATTTATTTTTGTATAGATCGCAGTATCTACAGTTATTAGATATAACTTATTTATAACTGTAGTATAGCATTTGTTCTCGAACTTTTCCGTATGTACTTAATGAAATTTATTAATAAAAACTCTTCCTGACGATCTTTATATACTATTGTTAAATTAAGGAGGATCTGATTTTCATGATGTAATCATATTAACGCAATTTGCTTCAAAAGCGTATTCCAAAATCGATCCTGCAAATCATATAAAAAGGTGTTGTCCCAGTTAGTGAACTCTTTGCATAACTAAAGCAAAAATCAAACGAAAATAAAACTTATCATTATTAACATCATCAAAATTAACAATCAAAACGAACTCGCATATTCTGTGAAGTTATAATAAGATAGGTTGGTTTTATTGCTCAACTAGCTTCTTGAAACATGTCATCACAATGTTAATCTATTTTTCCTCTTCTATAGATGTCCCAAAATAAAACGGAAATATTACTTTTCTTACTATATATCGGCATTTTGATCTTTGCCAAGAAAATCACTGACCATCATCACGCATATAATAGGCGCAGTGAAATTACTCACATAAATCTCATCACATGCAATGACACAGCAAAAGTCTGATGCGTTGCATCAAAAAATACAAGCATCTTCACGTACCGAATTCTTAAAACTTTGCGCAGTATCGTATCGTCGATAACACAGAAAAAATTCAATAAATTTCTTATATATGAGGTAGGATGGAATATTGTGAAAATAAATCATGGTAAGTATGAATTGGAAATATTGCATTTCTTATTTTTTTTTACCTCATTTGCTAATCCCCTAATTTATGCAGTAGGTTCTAAATTATTTAATCTCGATGAAGTTCTATTAAGGGAAATAATCTTTTACATAATCTGTGCTGATAGTAGTGATATACAAGAAATTGGTGGGATAACTTTTATAGTAAGTGTGGGGATGAGAATCTTGTATTATTTAATAATAGTGATAGAAATATATTAGTTTATCTGAAATGTGAGAGAGCAAAGAAATAAATGTGATGCTGGGACTCGCATTAAATGGCCTAGAATCCGCGTAATCCCTCCCTATTTGATAGCAACATATGTTTCTTTTGCTTCTCTAGCATTTTTTGATTAGCTATATATCCGAAAAATTAATAAAATTGCAAATTGTAAAACGCACGTGATTTTTTATTATAATAAAAATGGGTTTGTTCCGGGGTACATTTTAAGGATGCCCAATAAAAATTACTGTGATTGTGTTAATATGTTATACAAGCACGTGAATGGTTTCTCACATAAATTCAAGCTTTTGACAAAAAAAAATACTTACGCTTTCGAAAATGTCTTCAAATTGGTGTAATTACTTTGACGAAACCGAACCTGAATATTATCGTTTTCTAGGCTTTTACGAATACCGCTCAAAGCAAGTAGACTTTACTTTCTCTTTTCGGACGGAAGCCTACAAACTTAAAATGGATCTTGATTGTCTCATCGAAAAAGGCACGGAGGAAATGAAGAAAGTTGCTAGTCAGTTGAATAATATTTTTAAGGCAAGTACACTTGAGCGTTTTTTGCATGGATGATTAGCAGAGGGAGCTCTCATAGCTAAGGTGATACCGGAATGCTGTCTACCTTATGGTCGGAATGTCCGCTATGGGAAATTGGAACCCTGTACAACTACGGTGACATCGGAATGCTGTCTACTTTACGGTCGGAATGCCCGTTGTACCTGCTTTCGCAATGTACTAATTCCGCGTGAACTATAATTCACGTAAAAGAGGAAATATCAAAATATATAAATTGTACTAATCAAATGTGGAAGGACGTATTACATAGACCTCTAACACCCGTGACCTTACCGATTAATGTTCAACTTATTATAATGGAATATAATACAGTAAGTTCTGCAGGATATTGAGAGCATTATAATTACTAGTTGATTAATGATAATTTGTTCTTAGCTCTTAACAGATAGAAAGGTTTTAAGAGAAAAGTGGCGTCAAAACTGGGCCAAATGTGATGCTTCGATGACTGAAAAAGAAGCCAAAATTTTTGAATGTGTGCAACTCGTAACTAGGAACTTGTAAGTGGAAATTTGTGTTGTGTTATCTTTGTTTGCATTATTGATATTTACAATTATCTGGCACTTCTGCAGTTTTTTGAATATATCATCATCAAGTAGCACTGGTAGTAATGTAATGGACGAAGACACTTTCGTTCACAGATACTGCCATTTAATGTTGGAAGAGACCTTTAATGTGACGAATTATAAACTTTTCTGGTAAGTTTTTATACTAGTGGTATTGTACATTGCTAATTTTTTTTATCTAACTGTATTGGTAAAATCAGGGCTAATGGAGAATTAAGTAGCTCAAAGGAACGACGAAAATCTGATGGTAAGAAGCATGGACGGAAACCAGATTTTCGATTAAATTTTGAAGAAAAAAACGAAATTGTCTTTGGAGAAATTAAACCGCCTTGTATTGCAAATAATGTAATAAACCATGCTTTGATCAAACTTGGCGAATTCATGAAAGGTTCGCTAGATTCTCTACATGAACGATTTGGGTACTCTCAATATTCGGAAACATTTGGAATCATCATTAAAGGTTAGCTTGTCCCCATCACTACCGAAATTGCTAAAGCTTAATGCCAACTAATTATATGTAAACTTAACAGGATGTCAAGTTGAGCTGTTCGGCATGGACCTTGCATTTGATGGATTATACCGTTTCAAAAAGATTGGAAGGGCATTATTACCTACCGAAGACGCTAATTTTTTAAATATAGTTTCTGTCATCTCAAACTTTTATAGTTTGTTGGTAAGAGTCTATTACTATATTCCTCAAGCGAGTTGTTACATAGTGTATTTGTTAATGTTAATTATTTCTTTTATTCTGGAAAAAGCTGATCGTTCGATTGAGGAATTGAATAGACCGTCTACTCCCACTGGTCAGTCATACCATAGAGAATCAAACTCATTTCCCCACAAAGTTCATATCCCAGTTTTAAAAATCCCGCCTCCTGCATTATCTGATTAGGAAAGTCATACCTTATTTTTATGTATTAACTTAGTGGTTTAATCAAGTGTCTTATTTTATTAATGTTGTTTCTATGATTCTCATTTGGAAAAATAAAAAATGGTTGTCATTTCCTAAGAAACTGATGCGTGAACAATTGTTCACGCGCACGTGATTTTTTAACTTTCCTACGTCAATGGTAGCCAGGACCACCCTCAAACACTTGTATTTGATTTTTATAGCACTTTTTTTATACGTAGTATTGTAAAGCATGACACAGTTGAAACAATTAAATAAGTAAAGTTTTGTCTATGTCGGCTTTTAAATTCATAAATGCTGTATGACCGCTTATCGAATAAATAAAATAATACATGTATAGCATTTAAATCATGAGTGATCCGCAAACTAATCTACATATAAATTTGAATCATGATAAAGGATTGCTATAGTTACCCTCCTTGATCTTTGATCTGCGGAGTGATAACATCTTCGAATATATTACTAACAGTTTGTCTCTTTATCCTGAAGAAACATAGTTTCAAAGGAGGCGCTATAAATCACTACATAAATATGGTTAGAACTAACTATTATTCTGATTTAAATCCTGTAGTAGTACAAGCAATAACTAATCTGCATTACAGATATAGCAATGAAACGCCAAAAATGTGGTGTTCCCGTATTCGTGTTCCATTTAGGAAACTTATCGAATATAACCCAACATTCTTCTCAAAGAATAAATATATTCATATGACTGAAAGATTATATGAAGATGGGAAATTCAGACCTGGAAGGCCTACATTTTATATTTATTGCACTGCATGTGATTCCTTAGTATTTATCTGTGAAAATACCGAGAAATGAATGTATTGCTAAAATAGAAGAAAGGCGTGATGCATATTATAGATCTATATTATGGAAACGAAAAATTAATAGAGTACTTAGTTCTAAAAAAGAGATTAGTAAGCTTTATAATAATAATTCGTATTATTTAAACAGTACCTTCAGAAAAGACTTTAGCGGTTATGATGCTACACAAATAGAAGAAATCATGAAAGAGATTGTAGTTTGCATAACTAACAGTGCAATTGCTATCCAACGGGCTTAGAGAGCTTTCAAGTTGGGTCCTGAAACATTGGCACAACGAGTCTGGAATATAGTGAGAAATGATAGTGCTCCCAATAGGAAGAAATATTTAGGTATACTTTCAACTTGTGAAAGGAAAATAAATCCTCAGACTCAAGAAGAATATGATTTACATACTGATGAAAATGTCAACTGCCTTAAAAAAGTATATAATGAAAATATTGCTCAAAAATATATTAAAGAATATCTAGCCAAACGGGCCTCAGGGTACAAAGAATATAATTATTATCATCCTAGTGATTGGGCAGAATGGAAGAAATACCAGTTATATAATCGCCTAAATACTGTAGCATATATAGTTGCTTTTATAAAATTGCATTAGCAAGGCTATAGAATCGTTACTTATGGAGATTGGTCTCTTATGTTAAAATGTCTAGCAAATCCTGAATATCGTCATATTAGCAAAGTAAATAATAATATTGTTGTAAACTTCATTAAAAGTTCAGAATATGCATAATATATGTGTAAAAAAGCAGGCAAACATTATCCATGTGATTCGCTAGAAATCAACTATTTTAAATCTGGATATATTACTATCGAGGAAAAGTTAAATATAATAGATTTTTCAAACTTGAATAATAATTGTGAGTATATACATCAAATTTTAGATTCTTTACTAAAATAGTGTAGTATATTTCATATTTATGTATAATTATTTAGTTAGGTACTTTGTAAAGCGTTTTGTAAAATAATAAATTAATTTATTTTTTACACTATCTAATAAAATATACAACTAGAATTCAGTATATAATCTGCATAGATGATCGCCTAGTGAAATTGTGGAATGCTTCATATATATGAAGAAAAATTAGCCAAAAATGCTATGCATGATCTACCTATTTTGGGTTAGATCTTTTAATCTATTTTAATAAAGTATTTTTGAGTTTAGGAAGATCAATAAAGCGATCTTGGAGATTCTTGATTGCGAGGCAATATAACTACAGTCAAGGTTAGATATAACGATACTATTATATAATGATAATGTCTTATAATGATAAAAAATCTTTTGCCCAAAATAATTATAATTAAATTAGTTTTATATACTGATTTTAATTAATAAATCTCTTTATTTTATAGTATCGCATTATAATGATATTCACATATAACAATATAAAATCTATATGAAATGATATACAACATCACGTGATTTATGATGCAGTGTAAAAAAAATTTTTTTTTTAGTATAAAAATTATCGCAAAATATTTTTCTCTCCTAATTTTTTTTAATGCATGTATATTCAGTGAGAAAAATATAGATGGCATATTGGACATCAGAGAAAATTTTTAATTATTTTTAAAAAAAAATCCATAGATTTTTTTTTCAAAAAACAATCTGATTAATCTTTTTTCAAAAGGTAACCTAACAACCTTTTTTTTGAACAACCCTGAATGTATTTTTTTTAAACTTTTTATAGATTTTTTTTTAAAAAATTCCATTAATTTTTTTTAAAAAAACAACCTGATTAATCTTTTTTTAAAAGAACCTAACCTTTTTAATTGTATATATAATCCTGATGAATTTTTTTTCTAAAATTTTTATAGATATTTTTTTAAAAAAAAATTCTGTTAATTTTTTTTCAAAAAAACAACACGATTAACCTTTTTTTTTAAAGAACCTAATTTTTTTAATTATATAAGCAATACCGATGAATTTTTTTTTTAAAAAAATTTCAGTTAATTTTTTTTCAAAAGCAATCCAATTCAAAAGATAACTAACAATTTTTTATTATTTAAGCATAACTTGATAGATTTTTTTTAAAGCTTCGATTATTTTTTTTTCAAAAGGTAATAAACATCTTTTTTATTGCATAAGCATAACCCGATGGATTTTTTTTAAAGAAAATCCAGTTAATTTATTTTTTATAAAAGTCAATTTGATTAACTTTTTAAAAGATAAC